AAACCCAATAGCGGAAAGAAGAATAGCACGGCGTTGAGCGAGTATCGACATTACCAATGCGCTCCCACATCTTGCATATTGTTGAGTAACACGACTTGTGTTTGAATTCGCACAGAAGGAGAAATTTTTGTGCCCCTACTCGCCGTGTCGTATGCGGGAGGTCAGGTTTCAGAAGTATTTTCTAAGGTCATGCTACCCTCGCAGGATAATAAACCACGATGTCTCGAGCATCGAACCGACTAGTACGGGCATATCGCTGACAACACAACGTCCGGCAAATCTATCAACTGAGAAAGCTATTTCTTGAAAACTTCGGAGTCTATCCTTAGATTTTAAAGAATTCGACACATATCAGTTTATATCCGACACCTCGTTTGTACGCGACTTCCTGACGCCCAGGAAATGCACCAAGGCGTTCCAGCAGACCATAGTCCCATATGTGGTAAGAACAAATCTCCCACCATGAGATTCCTTCTTCGTTATCATACCATGGTCGCGCCAAAATTCAAACAAGTATTCCATTCGACCATTCCGGTTCCTCGATGTACCGGCCTCCACATAAGAAAACTTTTTGCGTTCATCCAGGAGGAGCTCCGTGTCGAGCCCGTCAATGCAACGACTACTGCAGCATTCATGACGCCGCACTCTTTTCACCGCAGACTCAGAGCAACGCCTAGCCGCCTCACTCGTTGATTTGGCAGCAACTCCTCTCTTAGTCACTGCTCGACCTCGTACAGACCTTGAAGACTCGACGCTTAAGCTGGATCTCATGAGGTAGCTAAATAACTCAACTTGAAACGACAGTTCAACTCGCGAGCTGTTCAAGACGTGAAACTCTTGCGATGAAGTGTCCCAACGGATTCGAGCCACAATGCTGAGGTCGCCAGTAGCAACTCGCTATTGAATATTAGACCGTCAGTTGAGGGAAAGGTAATAGAAATCAGTATCCTAGTTGGGCAACTAGGATAATAAGTTTTGCTTGTACACTACTAGCAACACGATACAGCAGTATGACTGATTTTGGTATAATGTAATAATAATAATATGAATAATGAGATAATATATCACCATGAACAGGTCAGTATCTCTACAAAGTTTACTCAACTTTGCAACATTCTTCTTAAAAGAGGTTATCAGAAGGGCATATCAACGTGCTGCTACTACTACTACTATTAATAATAATAAGGATGGTGCCATAGCATCATCATCATCATCAGCAGTAGTGTCGTCAATACATAATACTGCTCATTGGGGAGTTATGATCACATATCTTACTACACCAGTAATAATAATAGTAACGATGTTGATGTGGTATTATTATATATTTAGATACTATGTATTATATGGTACATAACACTCATTACTAATAATGATATATCAACCTTATCATCATCATCATTGTCATCACAAGGACGATACTTGTGGATACCTTATGTTATAATAGCATTAGCAGTATGTATTGAGGCAAGAGCAGAACCATATCTAGCAAGTCGTATATGTGGATATAATTACAATAAGATTAGGAGACTACAACGACCCATAATAATATCGTCAACACCACCTGATCCTAGTGTAATAATAACGACTACGACTACGACGACCAATACAATAACAAATGATGATTAATAATAATGTAGATACGGAACAAGGCGGAATCAATATCGTTACTTATGCGTAGTATAATACAATGCATAATAATAATATTCACCAACACGACCGCAGTAATGGCATTCTCCATTGCACAACTGGTAATGTCCTTGCAAAGTCTTATTATTCAAAGATTAATCACGTCTCACCACAAAGAGTGTCGTCGTCATCGTCGATACCGCACTTTTGTCTAATCCTATCTAATCTATGCTTTAGACTGTATATCGTTGTTGTAGTAGTAGTAGTAGTAGTAGTAGTAGTAGTAGTAGTAGTAGTAGTAGTAGTAGTAGTAGTAGTACTAGTAGCAGTAGCAGTAGTAGTAGTAGTAGTAGTAGTAGTAGTAGTAGCAGTAGTAGTAGTAGTAGTAGCAGTAGCAGTAGTAGTAGTAGTAGCAGTAGTAGTAGTAGTAGTAGCAGTAGTAGTAGTAGTAGTAGCAGTAGTAGTAGTAGTAGTAGTAGCAGTAGTAGTAGTAGTAGTAGTAGTAGTAGTAGTAGTAGTAGTAGTAGTAGTAGCAGTAGTAGTAGTAGTAGTAGTAGTAGTAGTAGTAGTAGTAGTAGTAGTAGTAGTAGTAGTAGTAGTAGTAGTAGTAGTAGTAGTAGTAGTAGTAGTAGTAGTAGTAGTAGTAGTAGTAGTAGTAGTAGTAGTAGTAGTAGTAGTAGTAGTAGTAGCAGTAGTAGTAGAAGTAGTAGTAGTAGTAGTAGTAGTAGTAGTAGTAGTAGTAGTAGTAGTAGTAGTAGTAGTAGTAGTAGCAGTAGTAGTAGTAGTAGTAGTAGTAGTAGTAGTA